CACAAGATCATGACCTGAGCCAAAAGCAAGAGTCAGATGCTTAACCGACTGAGCCACCCAGGTGCCCCCAGAGTAATTTTAAATGAGGGGCAAGGGTGTCTGGGTGGCTCAGTCAGTTAAGTGTCTAGCTCTTGATCTCTGATTACAGTTCATGGAATCAAGCCCACCTCAAGCTCTGTGTTGATAGCTGGATCCTGCTTGGGATTCTCTCTCCCTCCCTCTCTCTCTGCCCCTCCCCTACTTGTTCTCTCTAAATAAATAAGTAAACATTAAATGAAGAGAACAGGACTCTGGGATTCCTGAGCACCTACCACAATGTGTGACATTTGAACTCTGCAGATTCTGTTATTTGGACATGATTGGTCGTAGGCTCTATTAGTTAGGATTTAGTTAGCCGTATATAACAAAGTCCAAAGTAAGCACTTTAAATCATAAAACTTAAGAACTTTGAAGGGAGACCATCCAGGGTACATGATTATTTGGACCCATTTTCCTTTGTCTCTGTGTACCACTGTCACATGGCTTTTCCTTCAGGTAGCCTTGTGGCCCAATATGGCTATTGACATTCTTACCATCATCATGACATTTTCCAGGCAGAGGAAGGAAAGAGACATAAAAAGACACAAAGCAATTACCTTTCCTGTGCCTTTACAGAAGTCATATCAGATAACCTTCAATTATATCTTATTGGCTTGTAATAAGCACATCTCTAGCTGTAAGAGAAATGGGAAGGTGCAGTCTTTTAAATGGACACATTGCCATTCTAAATAAAATCAAGTTTCTGTTTTTAAGGAAGAGAAGAGACTGCATATTGAATAAGCAACTGGCAGTCCCTGTCACATATGCACCTGTGCAAACCATTTTACTAGTTTAACTAGTCATACTGATGGACAACCATCCTGTTGGACAAAGGTCAAAGGCCTAAAGCTTTACCTAGAGACTAGAAGTACTAGGTGGAAATTGCCAGTGAGTAGGTAGATATATGAATCCAAGGACTAAAGGCAAAGACTTTAGGTTTGTATGTTCTTAGTATACACATAGTAATTAAGGCCATAAGAGTGAAAAGAAAAGAAAGCTAAGAATGTAGAACCTTAGTGAACATCAATATTTTAAGGAGGCAGAAGTAGAAAATGAAAAGAAATAGTCACAGAAATAGAAAGGGACTAGAGTATTTCAAGAATGTATAAGAGGAGTCAACTACTATGCTAAAAACAAGAGCCAATTAGATTTAGCAACTAGCTGCTCACTAGTAACCAGTTTCAGTAGAGTTCGGGAGGATAGAGGCCTTCTTAAGGGAGATTGAAAAGTAACTGAGAAATGACGAAATGGAAAATGTCTACACTATAGGCAGTTCTTCAAATTCTAGTTCCAACCCTTTTTAGCTGAGTGACCTTGGACAATCATTTAATTACCCCTTATCCTCATTCTTTTTTTTTTTTTTTTTTTAATTTTTTTTTTCAACGTTTATTTATTTTTGGGACAGAGAGAGACAGAGCATGAACGGGGGAGGGGCAGAGAGAGAGGGAGACACAGAATCGGAAACAGGCTCCAGGCTCTGAGCCATCAGCCCAGAGCCCGACGCGGGGCTCGAACTCACGGACCGCGAGATCGTGACCTGGCTGAAGTCGGACGCTTAACCGACTGCGCCACCCAGGCGCCCCTATCCTCATTCTTTTATCTGTAAAATGGACCTTATGGTACCTTCCTCATAAGTTGTTTTGAGGATTAAATGACTTAATACATGTGAGGTATTTGCAACAATGCCTGGTGTGTAACAAGCACTCATAAATGTTGTCATTGTTGTCATCATCGTCATTAGTATCATCTTCAAGGAGCTTGGACCTGAAGGGAAAGAGTGGTAGTAAGTAGGTGGGAACAGAGGGTTATGGAGGTGTATTTTTTTCCTTTAAGATTCAATGTCACATATTTTATGAAAACATATTCTCCATCTCTGTTCTACACCATAACTTCAGTTATCTGCCCAAATTTATGATGCTCTGCTGTTTTTTAATCTCTCCCCAGACCCACAAGACTTCATGTGGCCTTCCTCTAATCTCTAGATAAACTAGATCTGTATTTCTTGTAAATATTCCCTTCCTGCTTGTTTGTTTTTTAAGACAAACACAGAGTTCACTTGACTTCTTTTATTATTTATTTATTTATTTATTTATTTTTATTTATTTTGAGAGAGAGAGTGAGCAAGTGTGTGTAGGAGGGGCAGAGAGAGAGGGAGAGAGACTCCCTCTCAAGCAGACTCCATACTGCCAGCACAGAGTCCAATGTGGGGATCGAACTCACAAACCATGAGATCATGACCTGAGCCAACACCAAGAGTCAGACACTTAACTGACTGAGCCACCCAGGTGCCCTGACTTCCTTTATTTTTATTACTCAGCCTAAAACTGCCTATTTGTGTAACTGATAGCATATACTATTTGGTATGTAAAGTCTGCTGCCTTATAAGGTGTTTTAAACTAGATAAAAATCTAAAGATGTGTTTCTGTAATTAGTATTGTTGAGGAATTATTATTCGTAAACAAATGAAAAGTAGAACATAAACAAAGTTTTAGAGCTTTGCAGTTAGTATTAATGGACTTTTTGTACATATGACATAATTTCTAGAATAACTGTCTGAATAACACCTTAAGATACCTTCAGTTTTGGGTTTTTTAGGCAGTTAGGGGAAAAATAGCTTGCAGTGTTACATACTCTTGTTCTCATTTTCAGATTTCCCATTACTTGACACTGTGGGTTTTTTTTAAGTTTATTTATTTTGGAGAGAGAGTGCGCTTGTGCACAAGTGGGGGAGGGACAGAGGGAGAGGCAGAGAGAGATGGAGAGAGAGAATCCCAAGCAGGCTCCGTATTGTCAACGTGAAGCCTGATGTGGGGCTCCAACTCATGAACTGTGAGATCATGGCCAGAGACAAAATCAAGAGTCAGACACTTAAACAACTGAACCACCCAGGCACTCGATTGACAGTGTTTCTTAATTTGTTGATTTGGTTTTTATTTTAACAAAGTTATAAATGCATATAGTTTAGAGTCTAACTTCTGTGGACATACTGTGGAAAACTGCAATCCCTAATCATTTACCCATTTCCCACATGGTCTGACAGGGAAAGAGCCAGTGGAATAAACATGCCACCTTCTCTCTCCTACCCTCTATCCTGGTGTTTGTCCCTTCACTACATTCAGTGACAGAGTGCAAGTGAGCCTGGTTGATGTAGTCCCTAAAGACCAGGCTCCTGGGCCACAGAGAAGAATAGAGTGGATATGGAATGACAAATAGAATATTAAGCACAATAGTTTTGATTTCCATGAGTACTTTTTAGCTCTCTATATACCCTGCTTTATAGCATCCTATTCTTTTATGGTAGATGCAGTTTCTGTCTCTCTGAGACTCTTTTTTCTTCTTCCAGCATAGATTTGGTTGCCTTTTTCTATTCACTTTGGTCTCAGTTTGTTCATGTTAAGAGACTTTCCTCAAGTGCTTGCTCATATTTAACTATGAGGCAGCAAAAGTTGCTCAGCAGCTTTGTACATGTGGAAAGTGTTCATTGACTCAGGTATTTACTGTAGATTGAGCAGGCAGAGCAATTTTGTCACCATCAACATACATCTCATTAGAGCTTTTCTTTGGGGCTGGTTGTAATTCCCCAGAGATTGTTCTTCCTATATCTTGTTAAAGAATATATTCTAAGGGGCGCCTGGGTGGCGCAGTCAGTTAAGCGTCCGACTTCAGCCAGGTCACGATCTCGCGGTCCGTGAGTTCGAGCCCTGCGTCAGGCTCTAGGCTGATGGCTCCGAGCCTGGAGCCTGTTTCCGATTCTGTGTCTCCCTCTCTCTCTGCCCCTCCCCCGTTCATGCTCTGTCTCTCTCTGTCCCAAAAATAAAAAAAATAAACGTTGAAAAAAAAAAAAAGAATATATTCTGAGGAGCCAGGTTAGGGGACAAAGGTTGGAAGTCTCAGCATTCAGTAAGTTACCTTTCATCCTGTGTACCCCCCCACCAACCCCCCACTCAATATGATCATGTTGTGGTGCCATTTTCAATACCTGCCCTCAAGTCAGGTAGTACAGAGATCTCCCTGTTTTACCTCATCAGGAAAATAAATCTGTCTTCTGTAGGAGTCAGGAAGATCTGAGGGTCTCTTTCTAAAACACCTTTCAGTCAGTTCTTCTGCCATTTGTCTCTCCTTCATTCTACTTCATCACAAGCCTAAGATACCTGCTCTTGGCTTCACTAGTAACTAGCTTAATGTTCAGCTTTCTTGGATTTGCTAAATCACTATCACTTCCTCATCCCTGGTCGTTTATTTTTGTCTCCTTTCTGATTCTCTTTGTCCTTGCTAAATGATGCCTTAAAAATTAACATAGAATGTTTTGGAGAGGGAAGAGAGGTTAATACATGCCCTCAACTTGAAATCTGTAAAAGTTTTTATGTAATTTTTTTTAAGTAAAATACAGGGATTTTTCTTTTTTTAATATTGCCTCTGATTCCTGATATGTTAATGATCTCAGTGACAGGAACAACCAAGTTCCTTGAAGCGCAACATATTCCTTTACAGGAGTAAAACTGTAACAGCAGTTTATTTCAGAATAACTATTTTGTTTATATTTCTGTCTCTCGTACTGTCAACTATAAGCCCTCCAAGGTTAGGAATGTGGTCATTCTCATCTTCATATTTCAAACACCTAGCACATGGCCAGCACACCTAAAATAGGATGTATTATGTGCTGAATGAATGAGTAGTGAAGTTTCAATTTATATTGATTAAATTGATAAGTAATTTCACTTGTAAGTTTCTGTGGATAATTAAAACTAGAGATTTTCAGATCACATTGTTAAGCTTTGTTTTCTTCATGTTTCCAAATACGGTCTTTTACTTTACCACTTCTGCATTACAGACCTGAGTGAAAGAGTGTGTGTGCTTTTTTTAATCTGTCATCAATTGTAATTTCTTGTGTGTTTTTTTTTTTTTTTTTTTTGTTCCCTCAGGGAAGTGGTGCAGGCAAACTGTGTTCACTGGAGAAAGAAGTTCTCATTTATGTGCAAAATGAGTGCAAGTGCCACCACAGGCATCCTGGATCCTTGTATCTACAGAGTATCTGTGAGGAAGGTATAAAAATAGCCTATTACGTCTCCCCTTTCAGAAACCATAATTAGTTCCATAGTCAGCTCTACTTTATTCAGCTCTACTTTATTGTTGGAACTGCTCTATGTAATTTCACTTCACACTTGCAGCAGTAATTTAAATTAGTGTGACAAATACGATTTTTAAAATCTGAAGTTATAAATTATTATACAGGAAACTTATCTCACCATCATTATACATTTAAGTGTTAACCCTATTTGAATATTTGCAGGGGGTGGCTATATATATATATTTATATTCCCATTCATTGAATTTCTCTCTGTTAGGCATTGTTTTTAGGGACTTTACATATATTATGTCTAAGAATAACCCTGAAAATGGGTGTCATTTTTTCCCACTTTCAGGAAAACTGAGGCTCAGAAAGGCTGTCAATTGCCCAAATTCACACAGCTAGTAAATGGCAAACTGAGGACTCAAACACACATCTTTCTAATTCCAAGGCCATGTTTTATTTTTTACATCATTTCCTTTCCATAATCTACAAAGATGATAATCTCAGATGGTTCAACCTAATATATATAAAAACATGTGATCCTACTTTTTTGGGGTGAAAAGAGGGAATCCATTTGTCACCACTAAGGGTGAATTAAACTGCTGGCTTTAAAACATAACCTTTATGGGGCACCTGGGTGGCTCAGTCAGTTAAGCGTCCGACTTCGGCTCAGGTCATGACCTCACAGTCTGTGAGTTTGAGCCCCGCGTCAGGCTCTGTGCTGACAGCTCAGAGCCTGGAACCTGCTTCAGATTCTGTGTCTTCCTCTTTTTCTCTGCCCCTCCCCTGTTCGCACACAAGCGCTCTCTCTCTCTTTTTCAAAAATAAGTATACATTAAAAAATAATAATAACCTTTATGTTCCACTTTATATAAATTGTTTAAATTACCAAAATAATACATATACATGTTCAAAAATTAGAGAAGGCCTTGGAATGAAAAGCAAGAGTCCCTTGCCTTGTTCTTTTCCACCCCAGTCTTGTGTCCTCCTTTATCAAATAAAAAGTTGTACTTTTAACCTTATTCTGCTTTTTGAATGAACTGATAGCACTATGTTTTGTGTGGCTATGTTTTAAATTCTTATATTGCTTAATCTACTCATTTATGATATAACAAAAATACATGTATACATTTGTAGATTTTAAGCCTTTACTGAAAACAGATCTCTAAACAGTCTGACTTGGAGCACAATAATTGCACAGAGGCTTCCCTAAAGGAAGTATAGTTCAGTGACAGGATGTGTGTCATCATAGTGATCTGGGTTTGAATCCCAGATATGCCACTTACTCACTGTGAGACCTTAGGCAGTTTTCCTGACTTACTAAAAATCATTTTCCTCATGCAAATTAAGGGTATGATAATTTCTTTGTCTAGAAGTTACAGGGGTTAACCAAGATGTAATTAAGCATCCTACCATCTTCTCTTTCTACTTGAATTATTGCTATGGCTCTTATATTGAAACCTTTACTAAATGGGTTCTAGTCATGATTTTTGAAAGGTGACCAATTAATCTTTCAATTTTAATAAAAAGAAAACATATAACCAGTTTAGAGTAAAGCATAACTGCTAATTAAAAACACTTAAAGTCTATTACCAAAACACTTTTTTTGGGGGGGATGGGTAATTTGAGTTAAGACTTGTTCATCTGAAATCAGTTCCTCAGATTATGATGGTTTGGTGTAGGGGTGCCTGAGTGGCTCAGTCGGTTAAGTGTCTGACTCTTGATTTTGGCTCAGGTCATGATCTCACCACTCATGGGTTCGAGCAGGGTGTTGGGCTCTGTGCTGAGCATGAAGCCCGCTTGGGGTTCTGTCTCTTCCTCTTTCTCTGCCCCTCTTCCACTGGCATGCACTCGCTCTCAAATATTTTTTTAATGATGTTTAGTGTATCACGGTACGTATGTTAAGCTGCTGAAGCAGAAAGCCAACTACACAATAACTTAGACAAGATAGAGATGTATGTCTGTCTTGGGTAATAGCCAAGGGGTCCAGGACTACTAGAGTAGCTCTGCCATCTTCACCACATGGTGCCCATTTTTAGATCCAAGGGAATCACTCCAGTCTCGTCTTTCATCCAGTGAAAAAAAGAGAAGAAGCCACATGAGAATTAAAGTAAGAACCCATAAAGAAAAATTAGTAAACTCATCTATATGAACATTTTCTGCATTGCAAAAAAATACCTTAAGGGGGGGGGGAACTTAGGGGCATCTGGGTGGCTCAGTCGGTTGAGTATCCGACTTTGGCTCAGGTCATGATCCTGCTGTTTGTGGGTTAGAGCCCCATGTTGGGCTCTGTGCTGACAGCTCAGAGCCTGGAGCCTGCTTCCGATTCTGTGTCTCCTGGGGCGCCTGGGTGGCTCAGTCGGTTGAGCTACTGTGGCTCAGGTCATGATCTCACGGTTTGTGAGTTCGAGCCCCGCATCGAGCTCTGTGCTGACAGCTCAGAGCCTGGAGCCTGCTTCTGATTCTGTGTCTCCCTCTCTCTCTCTGCCCCTCTCCCACTCATGCTGTGCCTCTCTCTGTCTCGGAAATAAATAAACATTAAAAAAATTTTAAAAAAATATTCTGTGTCTCCTTCTCTCTCTGACCCACCCCCACTTACACTCTGTCTCTCTCCTTCAAAAATAAATAAACATTAAAAAAAAATACATACATACATACATACTTAAGTAGGGGGCACCTGGATGGTTCAGTCAGTTAAGTGTCCAACTTTTAGTTTTGGCTCAGGTCATGATCTCACAGTTCGTGGGATCAAGCCCCTAGCCAGGCTCCATGCTGGCAATGCAAGGCCTGCCTGGGATTCTCTCTCTCCCTCTCTCTCTGCCCCTCCCCTGCTCATGTGCTGTCTTTCCCTCTCTCTCTCTCAAATAAGTAAACATTTTAAAAATACCTTAAGCAAAGTCATAAATTAGGGGAAAACGTCCAAACCATGTCAGAGGACTAATTTCCTTGGTATGGAAAGAGTTCCTTCAAGTAAATCAAAAAGAAAAGATCAATAATCCTTTAGAAAAACAGGCAAGAGGAGGAAAATATATTTCACAAAAAAGGAAAATATAAATAGCTTTCAAACATATAAAAAATTACTCAATCTCACTCATATAGTAAAGCTACAAATAAAGCATCCTTTTTTACCTATAAATTTAACAACAACCCAAAAGGTTGATAATGCTCTCTGCTGCCTAGGACACAGGGAAGCCATCCATCACCTGTCAACAAATATGTGAGTTCCTACAAAGTGTCAGGTACTATTCTAGGCACTTAAAGGACCGTAGTGAACTGGAATGAGTTCCTGCCCTCAAGGACTCTACTTTCTGGTTGGAGCTGGGGGGAAGAGTGGTAGGAAAGACAGAGTAAACATGTAACCAAATAAGATTGTTTGAGATGGTGATAAGTGTTGTATATAAAATACAATAAGATAATAGAGAATAACTCAGAGAAGATCATTTTAGAAAATTAGGCGAAGGGTCAGCAGACTTCTCTGAAAGGTAACATTTGAAGAGGAGGTACCTTTGTAAAGATTTAGGGAAAGACCAGTCTAAAGGAGTAGGAGCTGGGGGGCACTGGGTAGCTCAGTCAGTTAAGCATCCAACTCTTAATTTCAGCTCAGGTCACGAGCCCATGGTTCATGGGATCAAACCCAGCGTTGGGCTCTGTGCTGACATCATGGAGTCTGCTTTGGATTCTCTCTCTCTCTCTCTCTCTCTCTCTCTCTCTCTCTCTCTCTGCCCATCCCTTGCTAATGCGCTCTCTCTCTCTCTCAAAATAAATAAACATGTTTTTTAAAAAATAGAGGAGTAGAGCCTTGTATTAGTCAAGGTTCTCCAGAGAAACAGAATCAATAGAGTCAAGATATAGGTATATAGATAAAGATTTATTATAAGGAATTGGCTTACACAGTTATGGAGGCTGAGAACTCCCACAATATGCCATCTGCAAGCTGGAGACCCTAGAATGTTGGTGGCATAGTTCCAGTCTGAGTCCAAAGCCCTCAGAACCATGGAACCAGTGGTGTGAGTTCAAGTCAAAGCCTGAGAACCAGGAGTGCTAATGGTGTTAAGTCCTAGTCTGAGGGCAGGAGAAGACCAGTGTCCCAATTCAGACAGGTAGAGAGAGAGAGAAAGACTATAACCTTCCTCTTCCTGTTTCTTCTATTCAAGCCCTCAACAGATTGGATGGTACCCACCCACACTAAGGAAAGCAGATTGCTTTCTTCAGTTGGCTGATTAAAATGTTAATCTCATCCAGAAACACTCATAGACATAGCCAGAAATAGTGTTTAACCATATATCTGGGCACCCCATGACCCAGCAAGTTGTCACATGAAAGTAACCATCCCATACCTTCAAGTAAAGAGGCCCTGTGTTAGTTTCCTAGAGCTGCTATATCAAAATACCACAAATTGGGTACCTTAAAACAACACAGATGTACCATCTCCTAGTTCTGGAGGTCAGAAGTGAAAATCAGTAGGGCCTTGCTCTAAAGCCTCCAGGAAAGAAACTGTTCCATGTCTTTCTCCTACCTTTTGGTAGCCTCAGGCATTCCTTGGCTTGTAGATGCATCACTCCAGTTACGTGGCTGCTTTCTCCCTTTGTGTCTCCACATCATCTTTCCTCTGTATCTATATCTACATTCAAATCTCTCTCTCTTTTTTTTTTTTTTTTTTATAAGGGCACCAGTCTTACTGGATTAGGACCTCATTTTAACTAGGTTACACAGAATACTGTGTATTTCCAAATAATATCACATTCCAAGGTATTGAGGGTTAGAACTTCAAAATATTTTAGGGGTGTGGGGGAGAAACGCACAATGCGATCTGTAACAGGCCCTAAGATTATAATAAGACTGGAGACTTACGCTTCTGAAATTAATGGACCAGCTTATTAAAGCCCTCCTGTCCCTCTGAAAACAACCAGAAAAATGAGGCAGAATGTAAAAAACAGCTTCTTGAAGGTATCAGAAGCTGCCATGGCAGTAA